GCTGACCAGCAAGACCCCAGAACCCTTCTGTCTCTACCTCAAAGCACTGAGATCATAGGTGCACACCACCGCATCTGGTTTCTCTTACAAGGGTGCTAAGTGTCCAACCCAGTCCTTCATTCTTGGACACTGAGCACTTTATTTGCTGAGCCTTCTCCCAGGTCAGCGCCTGAGATTTCAATATAAGCAGATTCTAGCTTAGGGTTTACATCCTAAGGAGTTTCATATGGCTACCACAGAGAACTATAGCAGATACTTGTAGAAGCCTAAGTGGAAATGGAATCTGTAGCTTCACATGAGAAAGAGTGAGGCAGGTGGCTGAGTTAATCCTATGTCACCCACTAAAATTCTCACATGTTTAGAATAAGACAACAAGCAGTTTCTCCATTTATATTAAAAGAAACAGAGGAAGAATGAGTCTAAATAAGTCACCCAAAATGCTCAAATTTACTTCCTTCAAATAAACTTCTCAAATCTATAAATTGTAGCAATTTTACGTAATAAATATAGTGACTATAAAATAAGTACAATATTCTGAGGCTTCCCCCCCCCATATTGTTAAAAGGAAATGGCAATAGACTTTCCTGGCATTTCTGAACTCATCATACAACTGTTTTAAACTATCCAGGGAACTTACTCTCTTTTCTTACTTCTGGCAGAGCTACAGGAAATTAGTGGGAACATGACACTTAGTATAAAGCTTGGAATACAGAAGAGCTTAAAACTCACAGTCTCACTAGCCTATACAAGGCAGAGTTTCCATAGTTTCCATTGTCATTACGGTTGGTGGTGCATTAGAGGAATCTGCACAATTCAGTAACTCCACAGCTACCAACTAACTACCAAAGGACACACCAGCATCTTCCCTCTTTCCTGGTTTCCTCAGTCTTCACTCAGTCTTTAGTGGTAAAACTCAGTATGAACAAGACAAGATTGCCAAGCCGAATGTCTGAATGTCAGTCGTTGAGAGGTAGAGACAGGATGATTGTAAGAAGTTTTAGTCCACCCTGGTCAATACAACAAGAACCAGGCCAGCCAGAGATACACAGCAAGACTTGGTCTCAAAACAACAATGACAAACTACAGTCAGACTGGTTTTAGTTGTATTATTTTATTTTAAATCACACAAGCATGATTTATGGGTTGGAAGTATCTCCCAACCCAACATTCCTTTTTAAAGCCATGTGAAAACAAGTGTCACAATACAAAACATCCAAGTGCAGCAAAGACAAAGCAAGGAACGCAGATCGAGCACACCGACAACAGATGGCAGCACTTGACCACTGAGCCTCTTTCTCCACAGTCATTTTTTTTTTTTTTTAAGACCAAGACCAATTTTTCCATTTAATCTTTAAATCACGTGAACAGCATAACTTTGAAAGCCACTAAAATGTTTTTGGCTTTTAAGACAGAGTCTTCAGTAGCCAAGGATGGCAGTACCCACTGTGGCCAAGAATGACCTTAAACTTCTACTCCTCCTGTTTCCACCCCTCAAATTCTGGGCTTCTTTATAGTATTTTCATCTGACAATGGGAGATATATTTTCTTTTCTTTTTTTTTTTAGCATCCTTTTTATTGGTTATTTTATTTATTTACATTTCAAATGTTGTCCCCCTTCCTGGTTTCCCCTCTGAAAACCCCCTATCCCATTCCCCTCCCCTTCCTCTAAGAGGGTGCTCCCCCACCCACCCACCCACTCCTGCCTCACTGCCCTGGCATCCCCCTATGCTGGGTCATTGGAGCCTCCACAGGACCAACGGGCTTCCCTCCCACTGATGCCAGATAAGGCCATCCTCTGCTACACAAGCAGCTGGAGCCATGGGTCTCCCAATGTGTGCTCTGTGGTTGGTGGTTGGTGGGAACTCTGGGGATTCGCATAGTTGATATTGTTGTTCTTTCTATGGAGTAATCTCCTTCCACTTTCATTTTCTATTGAGACTTCTACAACTGCAAAATTCCAGATTAAGGCAAGCAAAATGTTCTATTAGGAAACCTCATGTGCATTTAAAGTCATCACTGAACACCAAGATAATGAGCCCATAGGATGTGACAAATGCTATGTAATATAATGAGAAGGAACCATGTGACATGAAACTAACCTGAGACATTCAAGGTATGACATGGCATGACTTGAAGTTGTAAAGGCTGTAACAAAAATGAAGCTGGGTTCTTTCATGCTGAAAATTAGGATATTCACCTGCCATAAAAACAATGGTCACATAAACACAAAATATACTTCAGAGCCTCTCATATAATTAGTAGTAAGTTTGATATTTTAAAGAAATATAATTTGTACTTGTGTGATTTATCTAAAAGGTGTTACAATGGGAAATGCATTTTTATATGTATATACCTGGGAAATATTGTCTCAAAAAGCTTTTAGGGAAGAATGGCTAATTTTTCATACTAGCAACATGAAATGGATTCTTTATTCTTCTGTATCCTATAGTTAATGCCAAAGACTAGTAACAAAGACTTTCATTGAAATGTCTGCTGTATGGCATTATTAGAATGCTTAATCTGTCTACAATGTACTTATAAAAGAGTAATTATACTTACTGCAGGGTGTTTTGAGAATCAAAGAAAAAACTCTATACATAGAACATTCTTTTTTAAGAAAAGATTCATTTATTTAATGTATATGAGTATACTGTAGCTGTCTTCAGATACACCAGAAGAAAGCATCAGATTCCATTACAGAGGGTTGTGAACCACCATGTTTGTGGTTGCTGGGAATTGAACTCAGGACCTCTGGAAGAGCAGTCAGTGCTCTTAACCACTGAGCCATCTCTGCAGTCCAGAACATTCTTAATAGAAAGCTATTGTTATTGTTTTAAGTATTTCCCCATCCTCACACAGGAATTTTTATTTATTTCATGTTCCTCAGGGGTTGGGGGAAGTATCACTAGAGAAAATGGCCTGGAGTTTCCTCAATGTTCTTGCAAACATTGTATACAAAAATATAACAGACTGGCATGAGGGATGGCAGGCAAGGAGGCTGGTGAGAGAAGGAGGCTGGAGAGAGAAGGAGGCTGGAGAGAGAGCTTAACAGATAAGAGCATTTAGCTGAAGAGGAGTTTCATGCCCAGGATTCAAATGGTGGGTAACAGCATCTATAACTCCAGTTTCAGAGAATCTGGTACTCTGTTCTGACCTTTGTGCGGGCCATGCATGCATGTGGTACACAGACATACACATACACTTAGGGCAAACACACACACACACACACACACACATCTAGGCCAAACACCCATCAAGCCTCTTTTTCATTGGACAAAATGTTCTATAAGAAAACTTCATGAACATTTAAAGTCATCACTGAATACCAAGATAATGAGCATACAAGACGTGGCAACTGCTAAGTAGTCTAATTATGGGCTGTGTGTTGTGTGTGTGTGTAGATATAGATATATAAATTATTTTATATATATATAATAAAATACAACCAGTCATTGGAAGAGGATGTATTATACTATTGTGTACTAAGCCTAAGAGACAGTCTCTGACTAAACTCAAGGGAAGAACTGCATGGTTAGCTTTACTTGACTAAGTTTGCTGAAGTCATAATAGCTTTTGCTTGATGGTAACCAGTCTTGCATTGGAGTAACCAGAGTGCAAACTAAATTTGTTGTTTCGTAATTCTTATTGGTGTTGCTTTGATGAGAGGCACACAGTGCCATGCACATTTTGACTGACGATTAGAAAGGTCCGTCTCAAGAACAACTTCCGAAAGATTATAGACTAATTTTCCAAATACTCCGTAGGCGAGGCAGGAGGCACAATTCCAACTGCCTACTCTAATTAGTCTGGCTTCTCCTTTCCCTTCCGGACTGTCTACAGTTGGATTAGACAGGGGTGGAGTTGGAGAAGTGGAAGAGAGGAGAGGCAGGACGCTAAGAAAGCTCTTGCTAAATGCCCCCAAATGCACGCAACACCGGAATTAAGCCGTGAGAGCCTCACTAGCTTACTAGCTCGGCTTGGATGAGGTCGTTCCAATTTATGTCCTCAGTGCCTCAAGCAGGACACGTATTCGATGTTTATGAACATATGAAAACAACATGAGAACGGGCACTATGCTAGTTTAATAAAATGATCACAACTGCGATGTAGTAAGGTGAGTGCTATGTGCCAAGTATTAACACTTTCACTTTACCTTAATTGCCAAGTGAAGTAAACTTTGAAAAGGAGGTTCCCAAGCAAGGTAACACCACTAAGGTGGGGTAACTAGTATGTGATAACGTGTAGGCCTTGAACCCAGGCGTGTCAATCATACAAGGAGGAACCATTGATTCAACAAAACTTGGTCAGTAGCTTCCACGGGCAGCTTCTGGCTGGAATGCACCGTCCGGTTCACCAAGAACAGCCAGTGTCCACACCCATCCCGCCCTAAGGAAGAGCTGGAAATCTGAAAGGAAAACGTGGCTATTGCGCATGTCCACAGGGCCCTTCCCCGCTCCCACCGGAGCCTCTTGAAGCTCCCGCAGCAATTATGCCAGACGTCTGTGGACCGGTTCCCGCCCACTGTGAAGCCAAACTGGCGGAAGCCAGTCCCCTCTGCGACGTGGAACCTTTCCCTTCCTTTCCTCCGGTCTTTCCCACTTGCAAGTGGCCACCTCACCCCTCTGCTTTTCAGGGTTTTGCCAGTCGTCAAAATGGCCGCAGACAGGCTTTTGGAGGCGGAGGCTTTTCATTGGCCAAGCTCTCGTTCGGTCCCGCCCACTTTCTCCCTTTGGGTTGCGCTGGCTCTGGGCTCTGCTACGCATGCGCGGCGGGGGCGGGCCGGCTTGCGGGCGGGTCTTCCGTGTGTCGCCGTCGCTGCTTCAGCCGCGCTACCTTTGCTGCTCTGGAGCTGCGCCGCCGGCGTTGGCGGCGCGAGGGAAGGGAGGGGACCGGCGGGGCGTGTGTGTGCGCGCACGAGGGGCGCCGCGGTGCTAGCAGTTCCCCTCGCGCGGGGCGGGCGGCCAAGGTGAGCAGCAGTCGGCGAGGCCCTGGACGGCGCCATGTCGGCGGGCGGCCCTTGCCCGGCGGGAGCCGGCGGCGGCCCAGGGGGCGCCTCCTGCCCTGTGGGGGTCTCCCCTGGCGGGGTATCCATGTTCCGGTGGCTTGAGGTGCTGGAGAAGGAGTTCGACAAGGCCTTCGTGGATGTGGATCTGCTTCTGGGCGAGATCGATCCGGACCAGGCGGACATCACTTATGAGGGGCGTCAGAAGATGACCAGCCTTAGCTCCTGCTTTGCGCAGCTTTGCCACAAAGCCCAGACTGTGTCCCAGATCAACCACAAGCTTGAGGTGAGCCTAAGGGGCTGGCAGCAATGGCATTCAACCCCAGGCTGTCCGAGGGCGATAGATCCCCATTTAACGTACTAGGAAAATGATCCTTAAAAACCTACCCATTGGACACCTCAGCTTCGAATATGATGGAGAGAGCGTTTTATACGTGAGTGAAGCAAAGGAGTGCGGAGCGGGCGGGGGAGGAAAAGGATGGAGACCGACGTGTGGGTCTCCCAGTGTCCTGTCATCCACCTCCTGGCATCTCATGCGGTGGGGCAGGAGCTAATCACACTACCTGCCTTGTAGGTGTTACTTTAACAGATATTAGCAAGATCTTCTGTCGGGAAATACCTCAGCTCTCCTCTTCTCCTTTGATAATGGCAAGCTAGACTTATTTTCAGACAATTGCAGCTCTGATTATTTTCGTCCAATAGCCCAGATCTACGTCGTGTCTGTACACAGAAACATCCATGAACTTAGAGGAATGTAATGGAATATATATGTTCCTATCTTCCTTCTCGGTTTACATCCACACTTGGCAGATATTACGGGCAGCAATGTCTTTAGAGCTTTCTGTCAATATTCAAGTAACTTCTAGCATTAAGATGGTATGTGTTTGTACTTTACAGTATTTCCCTAATTTCAGATCTTTGAGACTATGTAAAGACAATCCTTTGCTTTGGTCTGTAATCAGAGTGAAGGAAATGTGATTGCAAACAGAAATTCCAAACCTCCCATTTTGTGTGGAAAATTAAAGTAGGCCAGTATTACAAGGTTTAGAAATCATGGTGTACTAACATTATATGGAAAGCATTTTAGAAATAGACAATTTAAATAGAGATTAGGTCTTTCATTTTAAAAAGGTTGTTAAAAAAAAAGAGAGACACTCTGTGGTGTGTGAAGTTCTTTGTCCTTAGCTTTCCTAAGAGCGTCTCATCACTGTTACTGTAATAATGATAGTGCTAGTTCTGTACGGATTAATGTGTACGCTAGATTGGTTTCCTGTCCTTGCTTAGTGCTCAGCAGTCTTTCGTATTAGTTAGCCATGAAAGACATTTGCCATTAATAACACCTTACATATTATGGATGTTATGGTTTCTTTTTGGAAACAGTGAGATGCAAGTTCTTATGTAAAAGCGTTAAGTTTAGATAAGACCGGCTCTTGATCTATTTTTCAATGAATGGTAATTTCTAAAGCTGAGTTTTCAGGTAGTATTTAGTGGCTTTTAAAATAGTATTTTAGCTTTAAAGATCAAAGATTAAGAGTAGGTTTTGCCAAATAACATACATACTCTCTACATATTTAACCATATGCTGAAGATAAATGGCTTTTAAGACATAAAATAATTTTAACTTGTTTTTTAAATGACCTAAGGAAGCTAAACAATAGTACTTTCTGATGTTAGCAATAAAGTCTGATTTTGAAAAAAAAAAAAAAAGGATTCTTTTCTATGAATAGAAGGTACTCGTTTTTTTGGTTTTTTTTTTTAATTTTTAAATATTTTTTAAAAATATTTCGGCCGGGCAGTAATGGCACACGCTTTTAATCCCAGTACTTGGAAGGCAGAGGCGGGCAGATTTCTGAGTTCGAGGCCAACCTGGTCTACAGAGTGAGTTCCAGGACAGCCAGGGCTACACAGAGAAACCCTGTCTCGAAAAACCAAAAAAAAAAAAAAAAATTTTTTTTTTCTCTAATAGAATGTGCATATAATAACTTATGTGGTTTTCAGAAACTATTCTTACCTATTCTAAGTCCATCTCCCATCATAGGAAGTAGCATTATTTCTTAAAGAATGCTAGCATATCACAGTGTGACTGTGTTTTTCATTGTGAATGCAACTCTTGATTCAGAGACCTTAGAAAATAATAAGGGGAATAATTTGAGTTTTGCTGCTTATATATATATTCAACTATACATGATTCACCTGTGTTAATTTTTTTATACATAAGACTTCTTACGTAGTTTTCGTAGAATAACTGTGTACTGCTGTGTAAAGACTAGTCACAGCTTTCAAAGTAGACCTAGTATGCCACATGCAGAATCTTAGGTGATGTTCTCTAAACTGTTGACAATATACTGAGATTCTCTCAGTATTGAAATCTTATAAGAGATTTTGGTGCTTTCTTACTCTGTTTTAATTTTGTCTCAATAAGCAAGTAAAGCAGGTCTGCTGACTGCTCTTTAAGGATATTGAAGTAGTATATGATGCTGCGTACTATTTGTGTAATAAATGTATGCCTAGTTGTTTTGGAGATTAGTACTCAAACCATCTTATAATACAATGTTTTTATATTCTCAAGACATGGATAACTCCAATGTGGGTAATTTATATCTGTAATCTCAGATGGTAGAGGCAGGAGGATCAGAAGTTTAAGGCCAGTCTGGGCCACGTGAAACCCTATCTCAAGAAAACAGGTATAAATAAATGAATAAAACAAAAACCCAGACAAATGGAACTTGTGTATCCTTCTAAAATGCCACTTTCTTCTGTTTAATAACCTGTCCTTCTGTTTTTAGGTAATGCTACATCAAATTAATCTAGTAGTTGGGAAAACACTTTTACTGAAAAAAAATCATTAGTTCCTTTTAAAATTAAATATAAATATCATCTATATAGCAGCATTTGCCATATGTTATATTTGGCAAGAGATATATATATAAAGGATTGCTACTGAAAAAAAAAATCAGACTATTTTGAGGTGGCACTGTTTCATATAAATCTCTCAAACTGTGTACCTGGTGGGGAGTTCTTGCGATGGTGAGACACTTGGTTGAAGCCCAGCTAGAATCACCAATGAAATAAGAGTACCAGTGGCAGTAACAGCCATAGAGGAGCAAAGGCAATGAGCCAGTGCCTTAAAGTAACTCACCTCTGTTTTGGAATGTGTGCTGTTCCTTTTAAGAAATAATAGCAAAACATGGTGGTCCTTGCCTATAATCCTAACACTATGGAAGTGGAGAGGATCAAAGCCACCCTCAGCTATACATTGATTTCAGGACCATCCTGGGCTACATGACACCCTGTTTCCAAAATAAAAAAAAATACACCTTCTATTACATGTCTTTCTTCCACAGTAGGTGAACTAGTTAATGTCCTGTGAAGTGATTTGTTGTTCAAATAATTACTGGAGAAATATTAGCCCTTGGTCAAAAGTTATGTTAATATTAAACTGATGATATACTTGTTTTTGTGCAGCTTTAAGTTTGTACTGTTTTATTTATTTGTTTGTTGGTTGGTGTGTGGGGGTGTGTGTAAAGGAGAAAGTTCAACGTCAGGTATCTCCCTCCTGTTTTGAGATAGGATCTCTCAGTGAACTTGGAGCTTACCAATTTGGATACACTGTACTGGCCAGCAAGTCCCTGGCATGTCCTGCCTCCACTTCCCAGTCCTGGGGTTACAGATGACTTTCCATGTCTGGCTTTTTACTTGGGTGCTGGGGATTTGAACCCCAATCCACATATTTGCATGGCGAGCATTTTATCAGCTGAACCAGCTCCCCAGCTCCATTATTTTTATTTCTGAAACAGGGTCTCTTATCATTGCTGCCCCAATCTCTGCTCCTCCTACCTCCGTCTCCCTGAAGGAATTACTCTTAACCCAAGACTGTAGTGGACAAATAGAAATTAAGCTAAAAGATACAGAAATATTGTTTTACATTATATAAAACAGATGTACTAGGAAGTAGAAAGTATGGTGATGTGTGAGAGCTCATGGTGCATTTGAAAACCTGGGGAAGAGTTGAAGGTACACAAGAAGTGAAATTCCAGCTAAGTGTGTATTGCTAGGTAGGAAGCAGACATGCCTTGTTGCATAGGCTGTGCCGTAGACTTGGGCTTTATCATACGTAACAGGAGCAAGCATTTTTAAACTCGATGAGTGTCTCAGATATGAGGTTAGAGTAGACTTTCCTGGTTATAATATCCAGGTTTTGCTATAATAGGCTCTCCTGGCAGAAAGTTTGAGGAAATAAGAGTGAATGCAAGAAACTCTTCAGGAATGTCAAGGTATACATGTGACATTATGGAAGTAGAAGTGATATAAGTAGAGAAAAATGTTCAGAGCACGAGAACCTTGAAAGGTAAAATTCAGCGGAGTCCAGAGATGGATTAGAGTGAGGAAGGGAGGGATGAAGAAATTTAGACAACTCTATGGTGTATTGCTCTTGTGTAGCAGGCTGTCTGGACAGATGGATATATGACATTATTAGCAATAATGATGTATAGCTAACTTTATTGATCAATTACTATGGATTAATCTTTTTCCTAAATGTATTTGTTTGTTTGCTTTTTACATATTCATCTCATTTTCACAGCAATTCTTTAAGAAAGTTTATAGTTACGGTTTTTCTTATGTTATTTATAGAAAAGATGTAAGAGGCCCACACTAAGCTAAAGAAGTCATTCTGTATAAACAAATTTATGCTAGGAGGGGGAGTGGGAAGACAGATTGAGAAGCATCCAGAAGAAATGGGATACATAACTTAGAAAGGAAAAGGTAGACTTCAGGGGATGTATTACTTACTTCATTGTGTTTTTCAATGAAAAAATAAACTTGAACATATTTATATTTAAGGGAAAAGCTGAAACTGTGGGCTAATATTAAGACGGGTAATATTAAGATGCTGGGTACAGATAAGACACAAAGAACTGGCACAATAAGTGACGTTGCATCGTTTATATAGCAGGGAGTGAAAGATGACAGGAGTAGATGAGGTGGGGGGTTGCCAGGATTCGGTGAGATTTTCTTTCACCTTTCTTCTCTAAAATAGGAACTCAGGTCAGCTGCTGAAATAAGAGGAAGGACTTGAAGAGAGTGGAAGAGATTGCTGTAGACATACATCAGAGGAAAGTCCTGTTGGCCAGAGAGATGAACTGTCAGGCAATAAAAGACCTAGTTGGTGTCGCATATCATAAACATCATGACAGCCAGTGTGACACATTCATACAAGTAATACTTAGATTCATCCAGTGCTGAAGCAAAGAATTTTGTTAGATGGACGAGGAAGTTATTGAACTG